TCCTTCTGGATTCCTTAAATAAGTGGACTGAGTATGCCACCAAGAGGGAGCTGACCTGGTGGCCTAAGTTGCACTTTCATCTGATAAACTAGATCTACTTTTTCCAAATCACCTAAATAAGTAGTGCTGCAACACTGTTAACTGTTCCTGCTCAGTGTAAGCTGTTCGAGCAGAGTGCTGTTCTGCTTAGGAAAGTATTTGTACAAAATAATTCTTTGTGGTAATAGCTGGTTGCTTCTTTGTCCATAGTTGATCTTGCCAATAGCTTCAGCCCATACCGAGACGGCCGATTTGTTGAGAAACGGCTCAGATCCTCTTCAGAAGGTACAGCTGGAAGCAGTCGGCTCATCGTAAAACCGAAGGATGGAAACACAGAAGAACTTAACAGTCTACGAAAGCAGAGGACAAGCTCATCTTCCTCAAAAATGAACAGCATGGTGAGTTTATTTTCATATGTAAATGTGATGACTGTAACTATAATGAGCAGTAGCATTATAAATAATGTGTCGAAACGCAAAAGGTTGGCTCAGGCTCAAAAAATGTAGGTCAAGCTCAGCTACTGAAGTAAAAGTATTTTTTTTTTTCCAGCTTGTAACAATGTCAGAAGGTTTGTATGCTTTCTTTGAAAATGTTCTTCATATTACACTTTGGTTTGTCTGGGAATAAGAGCAACAGGGGAGTCAAATGTCATACTTCTGGCGTGACCACCTCTGTGCTTTGATATAGAGCACACATTTTCCACTCCTGTACAGCGTTCTTAGTGTTACTGTGTTGTCTCATGGAATCACTGCCACTATTAATCAGAGGATGCTCAGACCGAAGTTTGTGAAGAAAGTTGCTTGGAATGAGGCTAATTTCAAAAGGGCAAATTGTCTCTCTGAGAAGTGGTCCCTAGAGAATGACATCAAGTTTGTCTTTTGTCATGGTAAATCTCACTCGTGTGTCTGAAAGTATCATGTAGAATCCCTTGTGGCCGAGTGCACAAATGGCATTTAGGACAGCAGCGGAACAACTATGACAGCAATGAGGGTATTTTTATGATGTTTGGCCAGTTTTACAAAGACTTGCGCCTGTGCTGGTGTCCTTGAGCAATGGTCGCTGCAGGAATAATTGAGTTGTTTGGATCAGTTGCTCTTGAGTTACTCGCTGGGTGCAGTGCTTACAAATGGATTACCTGCATGTGAATGGCAGGATTATTTTTTCTTAACAATATCAGAATTATAAATTTTATCAGTATTGGCTAATTAATTTTACATTGGCCTTTCACTAGCAAGCAAATTAATTTTAAGAAGAAGTTCTTGTCCATCTCCTTTGCTTTTCCAGATGATGCTGAATTCTCGGATAATTTAGCACAGTAATGCAAAGTTTATGTAATTTTTTTTTTTTTACCTTTGAATTATTATAAGCAGAGATATTAGATAAAAATGTTGAATGACTAAGAAGAAAAAAAATGTAGTACAACTAAAGCATATAGTTACAGCATATTTCTCTATTGTCGCATATCCAAATATTAATGAATATCCTAATATCAGTAATAACTTGTTTTTCAAAACCACAATATCTTGACATTTAAAGATGCTCTTTTCATGTAGGCATACAGAGTGTTACGCAGATGTATTTCCTGCCCTAAAAAGCTCATTAACCCTGGCTCAAGCCTGTAAAACTTAGTTGGGTCATTAGGCCCCGGCTATTAGGCAGATTTTTGTTTTTTTGTAAATAGTTATCTAGGATCATGCCTTAGCACTTCATTCCAGTTAGCACTATATTAATGATGCAACTGGGAAGCTGACAATGTCATTGGTATCAATACTGTAAAAACAGAGGGGATTCAAAGGGATGGTTTGTGATTTGGGCCTTATTTCTTTTTTTTCTTTCTTTTTTTTTAAATTTTGAAATCTGCTATTTTTGTTCTTTCTGTTAACAAGCTTATTCATAGATTTATTCATGATTTCTCCTGTATATTTGGATTACAATCACAGACCTTTTACATTACAGAACTTTCACATCAACTGTAGGTTTGCTGTGGATACTCATAAATGAAAATAAAATTATTCCAGGTTTTTCGCAATAAATAAGGTGATCATCTTCATATGTTAAGAAAAATGTTAGATGAAAACTTAGGTATTTAGAAAAGAGAAAGAAGAAGCAGAAGGGGGCAGCGGTGGGGGAGCAAAAGACAAGAATGGACAGTGATTCCTGGAAGAGAAGGAAGTTAGGAACTGAAGAAATTTGAATGTTCATAACACTGCATATCTGAACAATAAAAGGCCCCTTCAGAGTAGTTGTCACAAGCAAATAATGTTCAGTTCTGTATCTGACACCGCTGACTGTTACCACTGCACAATCATAATGGAGAATAACTTTATGCTAAGTAAGGAAGAATTGGAGCTGATAAGCTAAAAATATTATAAAAAGAATTCAACACCTAATCCACTCTTATTCAACAATCCTGTATAGATTAGTAATTTAGGAACTTGATCATATGCCTAGAAGAGCATCAGTGCCTTTCTTCTGTGCATATTTGTATTCATTCTCTTGTAGTCTAGAACGAAAATAACTGAAGATGCTCGAGTGATTGCAAGTTCATTTGAGATTGCCTAGTTTTCCCTGGCGAGGGCACCATTGCTTTTCGGTTTTATTCTGTGGCACCAAGTGGTAGTAGCCACAGTTGCCAGTTGTGTTGTGTTATTCACAAGCTGTGCTGCACTGAAGCAGCTTTGGAACTTGTATGATACACCTTCTGCATAAATGCAACAAGGCCCTACAAGACCCTCTACTCGTTGTCTTTGTGTCTGGCAAGCAGTGTGGGATTCTTCTGCTGAGTGGCTAGAGAGCATCAAGAAGCAGAACAACTGAGGAAAAGCTAGAAATTTAGAGGATATGAGGGAGAAAAAAAAAGACAGAAATTAGCACCTGAGAAACTGTTGTTCCTCCTAAACAACTCTCTGAACAGAGTATTCTTATGTGACTGGTGGTGCTTTGCTCTAAGATATGAACTAAAACGCTGGCTGTGCAGAACTTCTGAATCTTGGGAACATGAATCTAACTTGCAAAGAGGGGTTACCAACTCCTCCACAAGGGGAAATAAATTCATTTTTGAGAGACTGCAAGAAATTTAGAAACTAGGTAAGATCAGTACTTTCAAAACCAAGATGTAGGGAGGGAAAAAAGTTTCAGAATAAATCACTGCGCAATGGGGGCACTTCACAGCAATGGCAATACAGAAGTGAACTGCAATAGACTCATCAGATTAACTGCTCAGATTACTAATTTTATGTGTTTTTAATTGGAGTATGTCTTGAAGTAGTTCTTGTAATGACTCATTTATACCACAAGATGTCATTATTTGAGTAAAAACCGTTCTAGACTTCAGTATTACAGAATAATGCAAAAGATAAAACCTGAAATTCAGGACATTTCTTTGGAACAGTTAAATATTGATTGCCCTCACAATGTAATAGAGTCTTTTCAAATAAACATGGTAGAAACTGATGCAAATTTAAAGGGATTCATACAGCCACAGAAAGTCTGATCATTAAAATGTTGGAACTAATAAGTTGACATTTACAACTTCAAATATTTAAGCATCAAGACTAGTTAATTATGCCTGGTAAGAGTGGCAGAGGCTATGGCTGACATCTCTGTCTCCACTCAGATTCTTCTTCTTTCTCCATGTGTAAAATAGGCAAAAAGAAAGTAGAAGACTGAGCATTTTTCAAAAAGTATGCCAGAATTATATCAAACTTTTTTACTTACTAATCAAATGCTGACATTTGGGCAAAGTCCACTTTTCATTATATTTGCACTATGCTTGTTATGTAGGGATACTTTGAATATCTAACATTTAACAGTACACATCCTTAAATATATACAAAAACATGTGTTGAAATGCTTGGTAATATTTCATGAGCTATTTGATATTTTGTGGCATCTCTTTGATAATCGGAAGAACTGAAGATATCAGTCAGAGGGGAAATTAAACAGTCAATTTGTAAAATTAATATTTGAATAATTACATTGAGAAGGAGCTGTATGTAAATCTGGAATGATTTAAAGGTAAAAAACTGGCGCTGAAATAGTGAAATAGTAGCAAAAGAAATATGAGTTAAAAGTGGTTGAGATTCTTTCCCTGTCTGCTGAGGGAGTAGAATGGCAAAATGTAGATCCCCCCGAAAATGGAAATGTTATGGCCCCTTTTCAGAATGTATGTTTTGAATCATTATGTTTCTAATTAGCAGCTGATATCTAAATTTAAGTTAAGGATATTGAATATATTGTGGGAGTCAATGGATGATTTAGGGTAACTTAGCAATTAATAATCAGGTTGCTGGTGTACTTCAGAGCATGTGTTTGGAGTGTTAGAGCAGTTATCCAAGGCAGTGTATTCAGATTTATCTCCTGCCTTTTATATTGTATGTAATGAGTAGTAGATAAGTCTCCACTCATGAAAATGTGAGCAGTACATGTTTGTGCCTTTATTAATGTTTGTGTAATCCCATTATCAAGTGTCAGTTCTACCCTAGCTGCTACATCATGGGACAAGCAAGAGGATTTTGTGGCCACTTGTGCTTTATTGCAAGTGCATCTGCTAGAAGAGCAGAAAAGTAAGCACTAAAATGGTTTTGCTATGCTCATTTTCTCTGTGTTTGCCAAACACAAAGAAGCCAATATGTATGATGTTTAAGCCAGTGTGTGACGACAACTGAGCATAGGTAAAATAAGGTTGTCTTCTCTCCAAGACAAAATTGATAAGATTTTGATATTTCTTCCCAATTCCTTTACATTCTTTTCTCCCAGTATTTTCTCTCTGACTATGGACTTGACATTTTTCTTCATACCTTCAACAATCTGAAAGGAACATACAAAGCAGAGTCTATTCATAAGCTGCCATTTTATGGAATTGGTTGATCTGGGGGATGCTATCAAACATACATGATTTGTATGAGCTAAAGCAGGTGACAAGGGGTCTTAAAGTGGAATAGAGCGTGACTGGTTTTGTGTGACCTGCAATGTGACTGTGAATATGACCTGTAAAGGCTTGAAACATCCCTGTAGGATACACAGTCTCCATCTACAGGCTGTAAATACACTAATGACTGATATCTAAACAGTTAACAAGCTTCTCTTCTCACAGCCTTCGTTGGGAAGGCAGTGAATTAAACATTATGGAGAGGCTTCGTTGGGAAGGCAGTGAATTAAACAGTGAACAGTGAACAGTGAATTTGAGTGCTGCCTTCGGTTCAGATTCAAAAATGCCAAAACAATCATTTTCAGATATTCCAAGAACGTTATGAAAGTATGAACCAGGTAAGCAGGATGTCCACGCTCCTTTAATAACAACTTTCTTGAGAACCAGCAAGGTTGTGTTGCTCTGAATACCTGCAACCTGTTGTTGTACACCGTACATATATTACCTCTAGTATCTGTGATGTTCGCA